ACCTAAGACTTAAAATTTTCTTCAATTCTTTCAGCTTGAGAAATGCTGAGCATGCTCTGCCCTTTTGAGTTCTAACTCCAGGTCTTTGTACGTATCATTATAATACTTGACTTTGTCTTCTCAAGCTGCCTTTTGAAATTTTCTGTTCAGCTCTTTTGCTTCCTCATTTCTTCCATTTGCTTTAGCTTCTCTATGCTCAAGAGCAAGTTTCAAGAGTCTCTTCTAACGTCAGTTTTGATCTTTTCTTTCTTGATTGTCTGATTCAAAATTCCAGTCCATTTCAGCTCACTAGTGCCTAGGTTATTGATCTTTATGTGTTCCATTTAATTTTTAATGACTTGCAACTATTCTAGATTCATACTTCATTCATTCCACTTTCTGATTTATTAATGGATGTTTGAAGCTGTTTCTTATTTTAAATTATGCCACAACAGCAAATGAACTTCCTGAAAGTTTTGCTCCATCCCTGTCTTTCAGCTCAGCTTGACTTTGAGGAGGCAGCACATCCTCAGTCATATTTTGAGTGCCTTCCAAACTGAAGGGTTCATCTTCTGGCATTATATCAGACAGTGTTCTGCTACCATGTATAAGGTTTTCAGTGATTAGTCTTTCAGAAGTGATTTGCTTCTCCTTATTCTTTCTTACTTGGGAAGCTCTGCTGAAACTTGTCCAACATGGGTGACCCTACTGGTATTTAAAATAATGATGGCGAAGGGGTAGGGGGTGGAAGAACAAGGTATATAGGGGAATACTGAGACAGGTTTGCATGGGCTAAATGGGACAGAGGTAAATAGTGATGCATGCTCAACCATGGAACAACAGGGCTATGTGATACAGGGATCGAGGCATAGTCTGAATAAGGGAAATAATACTAAGAAGCTTGACTGTCTTATGAATATTGGTTTCCCATGCCTACTATTATAAAATAGACACTTGAGTAGGATAGAAAGGAATTTTGGGAAACGCGATTACAGAAAACTTGTAAGCCCATCTTCAGCCTATAACTGATTGGCATACCTAAAAGGGGTTCTAGAACTTGCCCAGTAAAATAGTCCTCCCTCATGCGGAGCCTTTGCAGAGTATAGGACTTTAGATAGAATCATGAGTCCCATCCAGAATCTTCTGAGGTAGACATTCCCATTAGAAAGGACAAGCAGACCAGCCTGGAACAGCTAGAGTAACAGAAGATACATCTTCCAAGAAAGATCAGCAGGAAAAACCCAAAACAAAAATGGCAGTATTATTGGCTACCACAAGAATAAACAAGTTGTTCACCAGGAAGCCATGAAGGCAAGCAATCAAGTCCCTTTGGGACAAACCCCCCTCTAAGATTGAGACTCAAAGGGAACACATGAGTAGGCATGTAAGCTTGCTGGCGACCACATTGGTCTACTGGTGAGTGGAAGAGGGAGAAAGGCAGCAATGAAGAAATGGGCTGATTTCAACCACAGTCCATATACTCCCCTTGACCTGGAAATGAGAGACAGAAGAGGAAGGGCTGGTTGGGCTAAAGTATGGTGAGACCTGGGGACACCTGAGCCCATGGACAAGGACATAACCACAGAGGGTTAGAGCTGAGAATGAAGCATCCAGCTGATATGAAGTGAGGGGAAATGCACAAGAACACCCAAACTTGCAGATAGTACCCATTTGACCTAGCCTCAGTGGCTTGATAATCAGAACTTGACTAAAGGAAGATTTTAAAAAAGTGATAAAGGAAATGAGGGTAAATTGCTACAATTTGATGAACTTGACCTATACTCATGAATGTAGTAGCTCAAAATATCGGCAGAGAGGGAAGGAGTCTTCACATCAAGTATCAATCCCACCCCCTCTCTACACAGGGTAGATAGGGACGGGCAACTTAGACATTGGCTACCAAAAATGAGGGGGAGATAAAGGCAGAAAGTGACTGGCTTACAAGTTTTCAAGAGGGAGTTTAGTTTAAGAGTGTGGGGGGGAAGAAAGAGTCCCCGCTGAATAGTTTTCATCTTGTTTAGATGGGTCTGGTAAAAAGAGATGGGGATAAGATTCTTATGATTCATTAGTGAGTATTGTTATCAGACTAATTGCAACTGTCACAATTGTAAAGGTAGAAGTTTTGTAACAAAAAATGGGGAGTAATTAATCTTACAGTCCAGAAACATAGGACCATCAAGGGAGAAGAGCATGAGTGGAATGCGGGATCGTATTCAGAGAAGCAGTGACACCAAAGATGGAGACAGAGATGGCGTCATGGAGAGGGGAAGCAGCTGAGGACTCTAGACTCATGGAAAGAGAGGGACTGAGTGCTGGTGACCAATAGGCTTGTGGAATGTGCCCTTTGGTTGTTTAAATTATTCTATATTCCTGAATGTCTTTGTGTACGTCTCCCCACCCCTCACCCAAACAAAGAAAAACAGAGGGAATGGAAACAAATCCTGTTGAATGCTGATGCACGGAGGAGATTGTAATCATTGCATGAAACAATGGTGTAAAGCCGATGTTCTCCCATGTAATGTATCACTCAGTTCACAATAAAAAAATTAATAATAATAACTATGGCTTAGCTTACAGAATCACACAGCAACACACAAACCACCACAGTGTGACAAACTGGCAATTGAATGGTTGAAAAAACATTGTGTTATGTGAAAAACAAGCTCAAAAGGTCACGTATTATATGATTTCATTAATATAAAATGTCCAGAATAGGCAAATCTATAGAAACAGAAAATAGATTCGGAGTTGCTTAGGTATTGGATGAAGAGTCCTAGTGATGCAGTGGTTAAGTGCTTGTCTTCTAACAAAAGCTTGGAGGATCTAGTCCACCCAAGGATGTCTGAGAAGAAAGATCTGGCCAACTATTTCAGAATCTATACTCATTGAAACATGGAGCACATTCCACTGTGATGTACATGGGGTTGCCATAAGTCAAAACTGGTAGAAGTGCAGCCAAAGTGCTCCTTGGAAGACAGGATGGCCAGCCAGACTTCGTCTCTCATACTTTGGACATATTGTCAGGAGGGAGCAATCTCTGGAGAAGGATATCATGTTTGGTAAAGTGGAGGGTCCTAGGAAAAGAGAAAGACCCTGACGAGATGGACTGGCAAAGTGGCAGCAGCAGTGGGCTCAAACATAGCAACGTTGGTGAGGTTGGCACAGGACTGAGCAGTGTTTTGTTCTGTTGTGTATAGGGTCATTATGAGTCGATACTGACTGGATGGTACCTAGTAATCCTGCATGGTGCAAATGACTAAGTCGTGTGGCTACTAATCAAAACATTGGAGGTTCAAGTCCACCCAGAAACATCTCAGAAGAAAGGCCCTGGTAACCTACTTTTGAAAACACAGCCATTGAAAACCCTATGGAGCATAGAGTTCATTTGTTCTCGGACCCAAATGGGTTACCATAAATTGAAGTCAACTTGATAGCAACTGGTTATAGTCAAAGATGAGATGGTCTCAGCAGCTCCAGTAGAGGGGCTATACATCCCAGTTTGTCAGGAACCAAGTGTCTTCTTAGGGAGTGGGACTAAATCAGGACTGCAAGCCCAGACGGCTGGTCAATACAGGCTGTGTAATTTACAAAGTCCTCTCCACAGCCCCTGCTCCTTTGATCTTACAACCATCCAGCTTCATCTTGATCCCTTACCTCCACCCCACTGTCATCGCGCTGATTCTGACTCATTGTGACCCTGTAGGCTGGGGTAGATCTGCTTCTTAGGACTTCTGAGACAGTGAATCTTAATAGGAGCAGACAGCCTCATTCTTGTCCCCTGGAGCATCTGGTGGGTTTAAACTGCCAACCCAATGTTAACCCACTGTGCCACCAGGGATCCTTCATCCCTTGTCCAGGAGAGGGTAAAAGAGGAACAAACCTTCAAGGGAGAAGGGCGGAAAGCAGGACCCTACCCAGAGAAGCAGTGATGCCTGAGATGGAGGCAGAGACGATGACGTGGAGAGATGGAGCAGCTGGGGACTTTAGACCCAGAGAGGGAGAGAGGCTGTGTGCTGATGACCGGGGGACAGACTTGTATACGCTTTGGTTGGATGATGATGCAGGGAGGGGAATTGTAACCATGGCAATGAAACGATATATGACAGTATGAATGTAAAACTATTGTTCTCCCATGTAAACTATCACATAATTCACAATAAAACATTTTTGAAAAAAGAGAGAGAGAAACAAACCTAATCTCACTGCCATCCAGTTGATTGATTCTGACTCATAGCAACTTTATAGGACAGGGTAGGGCTTCCAAGACAGTAAACTCTGTGGGAATAGACAGCCTCCTCTTTCTCCTGGGAGTAGCTGGTGTATTTGAAAAGCCGACCTTGTGGTGAGCAGCCCAATGTTATCCCACTGTGCCACCTGACCTCTTACACTGTTGTTGTTAAGTGCCATCGAGTCACTCCTGACTCATAGTAACCCTGTATAGGGTTTCCAAGGAGCAGCTGGTGAGTTTGAACTGCCGACTTTGTGGTTTAAACTGACCTTGCGCGCCAGTGCTTTAGCCCACAGGACCACAGCAGAACTCAATCTCTTACACTATGTGCATAAAATAATGTTATCATATATGGAAATTTTTCATTGATAAAATTAAGATATGTTTTGAAAAGAAAAGTGGGGGTCTAGAGTGGCAGAAAACAGATCTGTGACTGGTTGAGTCCAGAGGAGAGGGAAGCATGGACTTCCAGGGGGCACAAGGGAACTTCTGATGGATGGCGGTGGTCTGTATCTTCATTGAGAAAGTGGTTTCCATGGTGTATATACACTGTTAAAGTCATCAAATTGCATGCATCTCGTGTACATCATGATAGCTCAGTGATGAGAGAGTGAGGAAAGAGAGGCCCCCAGTGGAATTCAGGGGTTTCTCTGATGGCATACACTTAGGACAGCATCCCTTCCTCATACATTCAGGCTCTATGGTCCTTCAATCTCTCTGGTCTGGCCACCTCCCTCATAGAGCCCAATGTTCCTGGAGACTGTCCCAGCTTGGCATTGTTCTCTCTCCCCAGGACTCCAACCTGTCCTTACACACAGACAACCCTGACCTCACACCCTGCTTCCAGAACTCTCTGCTGGCCTGGGCCCCCTGCATCTATCTGTGGGCTGCCCTGCCCTGCTACCTACTCTACCTGCGACACCACTGTCGCGGCTACATCGTTCTCTCCCGCCTCTGCAGGCTCAAGACGGTAAGAGACTCAGGGCTCTCCTGCAAGTGGGACTAGGACTTCTCTATTTAACGAGTCCCTCACCCACTACCCTCATAAGCAAGACTGGGTGTCCCGGGCTTCTCAGCCTCATCGCCCTGTAGCTGTGCCCCCTTCAGCTGGGTGTGCAGCCCACTGGGGATACTCTTGCTTGGGGACGTTCAACCTAGTTCTCCAGCAAGGTTCTCCTCACCCAGCAATGCCCCTCCTAGTCTAAAGAGCCAGAGTCCGGTGCCTGGTGGTGGGTTCTGGAACCAAGGTCCCTCCCCAGCTGGGGCTCTTCCAGCCTCTGGGGAGGAGCTTCACCGTGTGCCCTGTCCACAGGCCCTTGGCGTCCTACTGTGGTGTGTCTCCTGGGCTGACCTCTTCTACTCCTTCCATGGCCTGGCCCATGGCTGGGCTCCGGCCCCCATCTTTTTTGTCACCCCCTTGGTGGTGGGGGTCACCATGGTGAGTGTGGGGCCTGGGAAGCTGTGGGGGTTGGGATGCAGGGGCTGGGGGGTGCATAGACTCTGAGGTGAATGGTTGGACACCTTGGGAATTGACGGAGGAGCATAGGGGGCTCCTGACATATCAAGCCACATGGGATCAGGGAGAGCAGAGGCTGATCCAGATGTGTGTGTTCTGCTGGACCTCCCCACCCTCCTGCACAGCTACTGGCCACTCTGCTGATCCAATATGAGCGGCTGCGGGGTGTTCAGTCTTCCGGGGTCCTCATCATCTTCTGGTTCCTGTGTGTGCTCTGTGCCATCATCCCCTTCCGATCCAAGATCCTTTCAGCCATGGCAGAGGTAAGGGCTTGGGACCAGGGAGTCCCGGCCAGGTCCAGTCCTGTCTGGGGGATGACCTCAGAGCTCGAAGTCACTGCTAGGTCCCAGCCTTCTCCCCTCTGCCCCTCAGTCCTTTTCAGGGGGTTGTTCCGGATCATCACATTTCTGCAGGGAGACAGGCTCAAGCAAGGGAGGAGGGCAGAGGTGTAACATGGGAATGGGCCAACCCCACTGCTCTGTTGTACCATGTCCATGGGTATCATTCAGTGTCTGTGTGATGACTGCATCCATGAATGGTCTGGCTTACCCAGAAACCCCGGGGTCGCATTCTCCCCATGTCTTCTCACCTCCCTCCACTCTTGGCCTTTCTCTTGATCTTCACCAGAGAATGGTCCCCATGGTGGTGGTAGGAGGAGGTTTGGAGCATTGGGGGGCCGGGGCTGTCAATCTAGTTCCTCCCCATTTCTCCATCTCAGGGGCGGGACAGTAAAGTAGCTAAGAGCACACGCTCTAAACTACCCATGTACTCCCTGCATGGCTTCAACAAAGTGCTTTATCTTTTTGAGTCTTGGTTTGCTTAACTGCAAAATGGGTATCAGAGAGTAACTACCTTGGGGGTGGTTGCACAACACAGTAAATATTATGAATGTGATGGAAATGTATATTTCAATATGACTAACTAACATGGAAATTTTTTCTTAAAAGAGTACTTACCTTGCAGGTTGTTTTCAGGTTTTGACAAGATTACATTCTTAGAGTGCTTGGCACGGTGCCCTGCACAGGGCAAGTCCTCACTGACAGCAGACCCCATTATGCCCTCTCCTCACCTAGTGTGTGACCCAGGGACCCCCAGTGCTGCCTCTGCCCCAGGAGAAACCTGACACCTTAAAGCTTTCTGGGGCCAGAAGCTGCCAGAGGCTCCCTGGGACCCTTGCTGCTCACCTACACTCTCCCTTCCAGGGCAGGCTCTCAGACCCCTTCCGCTTCACCACCTTCTACATCTACTTTGCCCTGGTACTCTCTGCCCTCATCCTGTCCTGCTTCAGAGAGAAACCTCCACTTTTCTCCCCGAAGAACATCGACCCTGTGAGTTTGCCGTGGAAGCCCCAGGCACAGTGTGTTAGGTCCAAGTGATATACATGTGGTTCCAAAGCCTCCTTACGCTAGCCCAACCCTTACCAGCAACTCCCATCCCTTTCACATCCTTGAGGTGGGGCGGAAGGAGAGATGTGCCTAGAAGAGATGCCACTTCCATAGTCTGTCCACTGGGCTGGGAGTGGGAAGGAGGAAGAAGAGGGTGGTGGACACTCCTGGTCCCCCCCCAACACATACACTTTTCTTGCCTTCTAGAACCCCTGCCCAGAAGCTAGTGCTGGCTTCCTCTCCCGCCTGACTTTTTGGTGGTTCACCAAGTGAGCAGTGACTCTTCCCCCAGCCTGGGAGGGAGGAGGGCAGACAGACCAGAAGTTGAGGGGCTTGATGAGTTGGTCCAGGAGAGGATGGGAAAACATGTCCATTTGGGCTTAAGGGCTGAGTGCAAGTCCTGGCCCAGCTCCCATCCCAGGCTGCAGGCCAGTCCAACATCTGGCAGGTCGGGCAGGGTGGGCTGGGGACAGACCAGGGGGCAGGAAGGAGGAGGTAACTAGGCCCCCGGGTTCTTCATTCTCGGGAGAGCTTGCAGCTCTCATCTTCTTGGCGGCCCCTCAGAGTGACTGAGCAGGATAATTGTCTCTGTGACCTGGTGACAGCTCATTAACCACACAATACTGAAAAGCACCTGAGGCTCAGCTCAATCCACTGGCCTCGGCTGGCCTCCACCCCAGCCCAGCCAGCAGGGATTCAATTACGGGTCCTGGGGAGCAGACATCTGGGGAGGAGAGCCAGAGGCAGGAAGCTGTAGGAGAAGAGCTCTGAGTGACATGCAGCCTGCTCACTATGGAAACAAAGGGCAAACACCCTCCCCCCATGGTCAGAGCACTCTAGGGGACCCTCCATTCTGGAGACCCATTGGTCATTTAGGGGTCTGGACATGGGTTCCCAGCTCCTGGTGGCTAGATACTGACCCTCTGTGGGACTCCACCCTCCCCCATCTTCCCACCCCAGGATGATCATGGTCGGGTACCGGCGCCCCCTGGAGGATCGGGACCTCTGGTCCCTAAATGAGGAGGATCGTTCCCAGACGATGGTGCAGCAGCTGCTGGAGGCATGGAAGAAACAGCAAACGCAGTGAGCCTCCCTGCCTCACCCCCACCATGTCATCAGGCCCCCTCCGTCCCAGCTCCTTTCTTCACTGATGGGGAAATGAAGGCTGTTAGACCTGGTGTGATCACATGGTGACTCTGGCAGCCCCAGGATCATTGTGGAGTCCTGATGGTACAAAGGTTCTAACTAAAAAGCCAGTGGTTTGAACTCACCAGAAACTCCATGGGAGCAAAGACCTGCTGATTTGCTCCCATAAAGATTGCAGCCTAGGAAACCCTCTGGGTTAGTTCTCTGTTCTATAGGGTTGCTCTGAGTCAGAATTCACTAGACACAACAACATCAGAACCATGAGCTGGGAACCTTGGACCAGGGTGGGGCTGGTTCTCCTTGGCTCTCCTGAAGGCAGAAGAATGACTGTCACTTTTTGAGCACTTACTCCATCCCAGGAGTGGCCCTAAGCATGTAGATTAACTCATTTACTCTCTCGATAGCCCTACAGTGTAGGTTCAGTTATCCCCATGTTACAGACAGTCAGCCCCTCTTCTGGCCAAGCATTTGGCCAAGAGAGCTGGGACTCAGAGTCCTCCTTCCCTTCCCACTCCTGTTCCCTCCCCTCCCACCCCAACCCACAAGTCTAGAAGTTCAATGTTTGTTCAACCCAGAGCCCTGAGCAGCTGCTGCTAGAAGAGTCAGGGATGTGGGCCTGGTTAGCAATCCTGGGCTCCTATGGCTCAGCACCTCTGGGAGACATACCAGCCCTCAGTCTGTTTGTTACACCCCCACTCTGTCCTCCCATGTCATCCCCACCCTCCTTCTCAGCTCTCTAGTGACTGAGCTCCAGCCATGCTTGCCTGTAGCTCTTCTTCCCCTCAGCATCCTTCCTGGAGCCAGCTAACCAAACCGCTGCTAACAAGTTGATCCCCACTCCTAGAGACTCTAGCGGACACACTAGAGCGGTCCCACAGGGCTTCTAAGATGGTCATCTTTATGGAAGCAGATTGCCACATTTTTCTCCCAGTGAGCAGCTGGTGGGTTTGAACCACTAACTTTTCTATTAGCCGCAGAGTGCTTTAACCACTGAGTCATGAAGTCTCCTCAGGGAGAGGGCCAGAGATGAGAAATTACTTGGTTTCATCATCCTCGGGTAAGAATTGGGGTACCCTTCCTATGCCCTCTAGCACCCGAGGACAGAATCACCCGGAAATTCTCAGTGGGAAGGTCATTCCTGTCCCCTCCCAGCTGAGAGTCAAGAAAGCAGTCACGCCCCGCCTCCACACACACACACACACACACACACCTATGCCAGCCCTGCCCTTGGGATGTGCCCATTCCTACCTGCTCTTCCTTCCTTCCCGAGCAGATGCACAGCTGAGGCAGCATTGAGAGAGAAAGTCTCCAGCGAGGATGAGGTGCTGGTGGGAAGTCGAGCCCAGCCCCTGAAGCCCTCCTTCCTGAAGGCCCTGATAGTCACCTTCGGTCCCAGCTACCTCATCAGCTCCTGCTTCAAACTGATCCAGGACCTGCTCTCGTTCATCAACCCACAGCTATTCAGGTAGCTGGGCAGGGGGGACAGGCAGCCTCAGCAGGAAGGCTGAGCCTAGAGGGAGAAACAAAAGGCAAGGCTAAGAGTCCCAACCCAGGCACTGAAGGATTCTCACTTGTGACAGGACCTTCAACCAGTCATGGCGCCCCTCTGAGCCTCAGTTTCCCCATGTTGCGGATGCATACTATGCACATTCCCCCTTTAAATCCTCCCAGTTGTCCTCCAGGGAGGTGCTCCTATTCATGTCACAGAAGAGGAAGGGGGGACTCAAAGAAGTGAAACCACTTGCCCAAGGACGGGCACGTGACTGGAAAAGATGGAGTTGGACCTGAGTTCAGGGCTCCCAACTCGAGTCACAGTCCATCTCACACCATCAGACAGTCATCTGTCACATGAGTGGCTGGGACTAGAAGGACCTTTCAGATGAGGGAGTGGCCAGGGGCCAGAGCCCCACCACCTTTCCGGTCCATTCCTCCATGAATGCATTCATTCCGCAAACATTTAAGGAAGGTAACAGGCATGGTGATAGATTGGTAGCCATGAGCTGAACATCTTGTGGGAGAAACCGACGTCTCCTATACGTGACATATGCTCCAGAGCCTGGAAAACCCTGGGAGAAGCTGGGAAGGGGCAGGACACATCAGCTAAAGAGGGTTACTGAGTTAGGAAGGCTGCCTTAACTAGGTGAAGGAGGAAAAGTACATCCAGGCACAGCCATCAAAGTGTTTCTGAATGCTGGAGGTAAGGGTGCCCAGAGGAAGGGGCAGACACAGGAAATGAGAGAGGGAGCGAGAAGAAGAATAGCTTTGATAAAGTCTAAGCCAGGGAGGAATGTTTGGCTTGCATTCCAGGAGGAGCTCCCTGTAAGCAGGGTGGGAAATGCAGGGCAAGAAGGCCATATGGAAGTAAGGCAACCAGGTCAGGTGAAAGCCCAGGCCAGGAATGAGATAAGATTCCAAGAGCCATTTGAGAGGTGAATGTGTGCCAAGGAGAAGGAAGAGTCACTGACTCACTGAAGGATGAAGAATCTTTTGGTGGGATGATTGACTCCAACCTCAAGGAGACTTGTTGGGGGTAAGGTGATGAGGGCATTAGTCTTGGCCACGTGCTGTGGACCATCCAAGGTGAGATTCTCAGAGAGCTGGAGATGGAAGCCAGGGTCCCACATTGGTGACAAAGCCCTCCTGGAGAGCATGTACTGAGCGAGACATCCCAAGATGGAGTGCTAGGGGATTCTGATAGAAAAGGGGTCAGCAGGGGGTGAACCCTCTGGAGAATGGGAGAATGTGGTGGCTTCTCAGCGGAAGGTGTGGCCTCCAGTGGGAAGAGGCAGCCAATCAAACAGGCCCCAGAGTTTAGTAGTGGCTTGTCAGAAGCAGAGTCTGAGAGCAAGGGTCTGCAGTGGAGACAGGGCCACCGCAGTCTAGAAACTCTGTAAAGGAGCTTGTATTTGTTTCCTAGGACTGTTGCAGAACTTACCACAAACTGGGAGGCTTAAAACAAAGATTTGTTTCCTCAAAGTTCTGGAGGGTAGAAGTCCAAAATCAAGGTGTCCGGCAGGGTTCGTTCCTCGTGAGAGCTCTGTTTCATGCCTCTCTCCTAGCTTCTAATTGTTGTTGGGTGCCATCAACTCGGTACTGACCCATAGCGACTTTATGCACAGCAGAACGAAACACTGCCCAATCCTAATAATTTTTAATAGTTGCTGGCAATCCTGGAAGTAAGTTCCTTGGTTTTTAGATGCATCGATCCATCTTCTCTCTCTTCCTCTATCTCTCTCTTTCTCTCTTTTCCTTCTCTGTGTATAAATCTCCCTCTCCTTTCTCTTCTAAGGACAATCATAATAAGATTGGCCTAGCCTAATCCAGAATAGCCTAATTTTAACTTGATTACATCTGCAAAGACCCTTTTCCAAATAAGGTCACATTCACAGGTACCAGGGGTTAGGAATTGGGGGATACAACTCAACCCACAACAGAAGGAGCAATCCGGCTATGGCTGGAGGACCTCATGGAGTTAAGAGGAAATTTATCCCAACTTGGTAGAGATCTTGTCATATCATTGAGTGGCCAATGGGAATGAAGATGTTGATGATCAGGAGAGAGAGGGGCAATGAAGGAACAGGCAGATGAGATCTGGGGTTCAGAGGTGGGAGGAAGCTGGGAAAGACAGAGGGACACCTCCTCTTTGTTGTTGTTAAGTGCCATCGAGTCAGTTCTGACTCATAGCAACCCTGTACAGGCTTTCCGAGGCTGTAAATCTTTACGGGAGCAGAAAGCCTAATCTTTCTCCCGTGGAACAGCTGGTAGTTTCAAACTGCTGACCTTGCAGTTCACAGCCTGATTCGTAACCACTACGCTACCAGAGCTCCTCTTTAGAGTGAGAGAAAAAAAGAGTGAGTTTGAAGGGAAGTTTGTGACTAGAGGGTGCTCTCAATAGTGGATAAGTGCAAAGACAGACCAGCTACTGAGAGCAGGGAGTGGGGACAGGCCCCCAGAGAAAGGAGGATGAATTATGACCCTGGAGAAGAGACACTGATGTTGGAGAGGATGGACTGCAAGGCGAAAGTCCATGTGATCATGCAGCAGCCTCTAGGACAAGGTATTGAGAAGTCCAATAATTGGACATATGGCATATCTTCCTGCACGTGATACAAGGAGGTGAGAATGACAGGCAGGCGAGCCTAGTGACGACAGTGATTGTCAGTGAGGTCCCTGATGGATAGGGAAGGTCAGGCTGAAGGGAAACAGGATGGAAGCGTCATGGTCTTGAGGCAGTACAAGGTAGCACCCCCCTGGCCTGGGCAGTAAGGGGTGTGGAGAGGAACAGCAGCCCCACCAGAGAGATTGTGAAAGAAGAGGGCTGACCTGAGGCTGAGAGAGAAAGGAGAGGGCGGCAGTGGAGGGAGCACGCCCCAATCTCATTCCTCTCTCCTCCCTTGCAGCATCTTGATCAAGTTTATTTCGAACCCCTCGGCGCCCAACTGGTGGGGCTTCCTGGTGGCGGGCCTGATGTTTGTGTGCGCTGTGATGCAGACCGTGATCGTGAGCCAGCACTACCGCCACATCTTTGTGAACGCCATAAGGCTGCGTTCAGCGATCATAGGCACCATCTACAGGAAGGTCAGCTGGACTAGGGGCAGGGGGCCCTGTAAAGTTGGGGAAGGCTCATCACCCTCCTGCCCATGCAGGCTCTGGTCATTACCAATTCAGTCAAGCGGGAGTCCACTGTGGGAGAAATCGTCAATCTCATGTCAGTGGATGCGCAGCGCTTCATGGATGTTGTCCCCTTCCTCAACCTGCTGTGGTCGGCACCGCTGCAGATCCTCCTGGCCATCTACTTCCTCTGGCAGGTGATTCTTGAACCCTGACCTCTGCACTTCTGCTGCAGAAGGGATGAGCAGCAGAGAGGGTCAGCAGGGAGTTTGTATAATGGGTACTAGAGTTTCCCTAGCATTGGTGGGGGAACAGGACTCCCAGAATGTTGGTGTCTGCCACTGAGTCTTTGAGTCTGTGCTGTTATCCTTCCCTCAGCTCCTGGGGGCTGGGGGGAGGCAGGGTGAGTGTGACTGGCTGTCGTTGTCTGTCTGTCTGTCTGTAGTCACTTTCCTGTGTGTCTGAATATCTTTCTGTCTGCTGTGTGTGCTTATCTGTTGCCCCTGTCGTCATTATCTGATGGACTGACTGCTTCTGCAAATGGTTCGTTCATTCTAGCTTTCTCTGCATGTTTGCTTTTTCTCTGTGTGTTTGGCTGATCCTTGTCTTTTGCTTCTTGCCCACCCCACATTGCAGATCCACAGCCCTGTCTGTCTGTCTGGTGGGTTCTGTCTTCCAACTCTGATTATCCTATCTGTCAACTGTGCCTCCTCAGAACCTGGGTCCCTCCATCCTGTCTGGAGTCGCTCTGATGGTCTTGCTGATCCCACTCAATGGAGCAGTGGCCATTAAGATGCGGGCCTTCCAGGTGGGTGTCAGCAGAGAAGCAGCTGGCCAAGTGCCTGGGGGAGGGTATTCATTTACCTGGGGTCTTCTCAATTACCTTGTTTTCTGAGTATGGATGGATACCAGATACATCTACAGCCTTAGCTCACTGAGAGGGTCCTGGGAGCATTCTCCTTTGCAGCTGAGGAACCAAGGGCCAGAAAAAATATGACAGTCCAGAACCAGGCCGAGTCGGGAATCAAACCTGTGTCTTTTGGTCTAATGAGAGCTTTTCCCACCTCACTGTGCTGCATATAAGTAATCAGTCATTTAGCCCTTTATCTGCAAACACTGAAGTCTTCAATAGCTCCCCACTGTACATGGAATAGATGATAAGCTCTCTAACACAGCTCACCAGACCCCTACTTACTTCTGAAGCCCTCACTAGGTGGGATATGGCCAAGTCTCAGCCACCTTGTGCCTCTGGGCTGTCCCACCCACTGTTCCCTCTCTCAGGAATGCTCTTCACTGCCGTTCCCCCTTCCCTGCCACACTCCTTCCCTTCCCTCACTTCTCAGCATGACTGTCCTGTGTGTTTCCCTCCCTCACAACATTATCCTCTCCAACATCCTGTTATTTCCCTTCAGAGCTTACATAATAATTTATAATTAGGCATGTATTCGGTTAATTATTTGCTTAATGCCTGCCTCCCCCATTAGAATGCCAGTTTCATCATGGCTGAAACCTTGTCAGAAATGCTCATCATTATATTCCTCATAAGGGGCTCTGGAGGCACTTAGGATAGGCACTGGACTCCTAACCACAAGGTCAGCAGTTCAAACCCACCAATCACTCCTCAGGAGAAAGATGAGACTTGCTGCTACCATAAAGATTTACAGCCTCTGAAACCCTGTACAGGGTCACGATGGGTCAGAATTGACTTCATGGTGTTCCTCATGCCTAACTTAGGGCCTAGCTGTTGTTGTTGTTGTTAGTTGTTAATGTTGCTGTTGTTGTTAGGTGCCATCGAGTCAGTACTGACTCATAGTGACCCTGTGCACAACAGAATGAAACACTGCCCGGTCCTGTGTCAACCTCACCATCACTGCTATGCCTGAGCCCATCACTGCTGCCTCTGTGCCAATCCATCTCTTTGGGGTTCTTCCTCTTTTTCTCATACCCTCTACTTTCTTAAACATGATATCCTTCTCCAGGGACTGGTCCCTCCTGAAGTATGTCCACAGTATGAGAGATGAAGTTTGGCCATCTGGCTTCCAAGGAGTACTCTGACTGTTCTTCTTCCAACACAGATCTGTTTGTTCTTTTGGCAGTCCATGGTACTTTTAATATTCTTCTCCGACACTATTATAACTTAAATGCTTCTCCGACACTATTATAACTTAAAAATCAGTTCTTCTACAGTCTTTCTTATTCACTGTCCAACTTTCACATGCATATGAGGTTACTGAAAATACCCTGGTTTAGATCCGGCACACCTTAGTCCTCAAACTGATATCTTTGCTCTTCAACGCTTTAAACAGGTCTTGTGCAGCAAGTTTGCATAATGCAATACATTGTTTGATTTCTTGACTGCAGCTTCTGTGAGTGTTGATGGTTGGTCCAAGCAAAATGAAGTCTTTGACAACCTGAATCTTTTCTCCACTTATATGGATGTTATTTATTGGTCGATTGGTGAGGATTTTTGTTTTCTTTACATTGAAATGCAACCCATACCAAAGGCTGTGGTCTTTGATCTTTGTCAGTAAGTATTTTAAGTCTTCTTCACTTTCAGCAAGCAAGGTTGTATCATCTGCATATTGCAGGTTGTTAATGAGTTCATCAATATTTTAGGTCCTCTTCACTTTCAGCAAGCAAGATTGTATCATCTGCATATATGGGTCTTTCTTCCATACTGTTGCCACATTCTTCTTCATATAATCCAGCTTCTCATATTTTTTGCTCAGCATACAGATTGAATAAGTATGGTGAAAGAATACAACCGTGGCACACACCTTCCTAATTTTAAGCTATTCAGTGTTTCCTTGTTCTGTTCAAACAACTGCCTCTTGGTGTATGTACAGGTTTCTCATGAACACAATTAAGTGTTCCGGAATACTCATACTTCGCAATGTTGTCCATAGCTTGGCATGATCCACACAATCAAAAGCCTTTGTGTAGTCAGTAAGGCACAGGTAAACATCTTTCTGGTATTCTCTGCTTTCAGCTAAGAACCATCTGATGTTAGCAATGCTATTCCTTGTTCCACATCCTCTTCTGAATCCAGCTTGAACTTCTGTCTCAATGTATGGCTGCAGCCATTTTTGGATTATCTTTAGTAAAATTTTACTCTCATGGGATATCAATGATATCATTCGATGATTTCCACATTTTGTTGGATCACCTCTCTTTGGAATGGGCACAAATACAGATCTCTTCCAGTCAGTTGGCCAGATAGTTGTCTTCCAAATTTCTTGGCATAGATGAGTGAGTGCCTCCAGTGCCACATCAATTTATTGAAAGATTTCAACGTATAGTCCATCAATTCCCGGTGCCTTGTTCTTTGCCAATGCCTTCAATGAACCTTGGATTTCTTCCTTCGGTATCATTAGCTCTTGATGATATGCTACCTCTTGAAATAGTTGAACATCAGCTGTTTCTTTTTGGTACCGTGACTCTGTGTATTCTTATCAACTTATTTTATGCTTTCTGCATCATTCAACATCTTGCCCATTGAATCCTTCCATATTTCAAGTCAAGGCTTAAATTTTTTCTTCAGTTCCCTCAGCCTGAAAAATGTTGAGCGTGTTCTTCCCCTTTGGTTATCTAACTCTAGGTCTTTGCACATTTCATGATAATATCTGACTTTGTCTTCTCAAGCTGACCTTTGACATTTTCTGTTCAGCTCTTGTACCTCCTCACTTCTTCCACTTGCTTTAGCATCTCTACGTTGGAGAGTAAGTTTCAGATTCTCTTCTGACATCCATTTGGCCTTTTCCTTCTTTCTTGTCTTCTTAATGACCTTTTGCTTTCTTCCTGTATGATGGTCTTGATGTCATCCCACAACTCTTCTGATCTACAATGTTTAGTGTCTAATCATCAAATTTGTTCTTCAGATGATCTCTAAATTCAGGTGGAATATATTCAGGGTCATATTTTGGCTCTCATGGACTGGTTTTCATTTTCTTCAGCTTCAGTCTGGACTTGCAATATAAAAGACAATACGAGAAGCTGGGTTCTATGAAGAAAAACGTGGCATCAGGATTGGAGGAAGACTCATTAACAACCTGCGATATGCAGATGATACAACCTTGAT